AAGGTCATCACTGTGATCGATTAAGATTTGTGCTAAACATTTGGCGCTGTCGTACGTATCCGGCCTCGTAGCTATGACATTTCCTTTTGTTGCTTGAGTCAGTCCCCAGATAAATCTCTCTATCTTCTTACTTTCCGGGGTAACCATTCCCGGACAAAGTAGTGCCAAGTCGTCGAACCTGGAAGTATAAGCAGCAATGTCGGAACCTTTCATCTTCAGGTTCCACAGTTCATGTTCTAACTTCTGCATTTCTCCCTGATGGCAGTACTCAGCCAGCAGAAGTTCCTTCATGGCTTCCCAACCCATGGCGTTGGCTACAGGTAAGGTTAGGGATTTGACTCGGCCGTTCCACCAAGTCAGAGCTTTGTCGAGAAAGGTGCAGGCGGCAAACTTCACCTTGTCTGAATCTGAACAAGCACAGATTTCAAAGATAGATTCGATCTTTTCGAACCATCGGGTAAGGGAAATGACACCTCCAGTGCCATCAAAAGACGTGGTTTTGGCGTTCATGAAATCCTTATAGCAACCCTCTTTCCTGCGTCCCTGGCTATCTTCTAGGTTTTGGGGCTGGGGGCTACCTCTAGAGCCATCGGAATTCATTTGTGACATGGCTGCCACCACTGCAGCAGTCAAAACAGTCTGAAGTGATGCGAGATCGAATTGAGGAGGAGATGGTGGCGGAGGAGGATTGTCGTTGTTTTTCGAGCTTGGTCTCTTTCTTGGAGGCATCTTGATCTAAAAAGATCAGGAAAGAGAGGATTATAAGTCCTTTGAATTGAATCAAGAGATATGGAATAGGGGATATCTCATCAAGACAGATATAGCATCATACTAAGCGATAGAGTAGGAAAGAGTTATCAAGACAGAACATTTTATCGCTAGAGGAATGTTCAAGTAATATCGCGTATACGAGGATTTTCTATGAAGGATTGGCTCGAGAAGTACTCCCATAGTATTTCATGTTTCGTTGCAGCGACGACTTGTTGTTTGAGATATTAGGTAAGTTTTAGGCATGCTGCTTACCACAGTCACTCCCAAGCACATGTTGGCCGTGTCTCGAATGAATATAGTTGGCCAGGCTATATTGATCCTAGACACGACTACATAACTACCCAGGTTTAACCGCAGTGTACAACATCCATTTACTTATGTTTTGTTCTACTTGTAGTTACGTATTTCGACGGCTCTGTATACTTGTATACTTTTGAAAATACTTATAGTTTTGAAGATACTTTTAATTCAGAGCACTGAGGCCCTTTAATGTTTATAGTTTTATACCATGTAAGGTTTGGTATACTTCATTCACTATAAACAAGGGCTCTGATACCAATCTATCACACCCCGAAAACCGAAGGCGGAAACATTTCCGGAGTTGACTCAACGTTGAGTATCAATTCCAATGTACATAGTAAGTAAAGTAAATCAACCATTACATTACATACATGAAAGTTTTACATATGTTTCAAAAGCATAAGTTATACAAGTGATACATAGTATATATGAACAACACGAAACGAGTCTTCTGAGAACTCCGTCTTCACACAAAAGGGTCTTCGGGTACCTGTCTAACACGGACCTGAGAATACAAGCGGTTTGAAAATCTGCATAAAGCTGGTGAGTTCATAAGCGGTTAGTTATTTCTGAAAATGTACGTGTTCCTTTGTTTTCCTGAAAAAGTGGTTATCCAAGAAAATCCCATATTTTCTTAATAGTTAAGTTAGTTTCCAAATCCATAAGTAAAGTAAACGGTGTTTAATTAAAACATGATTGTTCTTGTGAAATGTAATTCAATTGTTTAACTTATTACACTTCTCTAATTTCGTACCACTATTACCCAGGAAGAACCCCATGTTCTCCTGACTGTGTGTGTGAACTGTTACTAGTTCTGATTATGTTCAGTGTCTTTCCCAGGAAAACCCCATGTTTCCCTGACTGTGTGTATATCTTTACTGGTTTTGGTTATGTTCAGTGTTCTCCCCAGGAAAACCCCATGTTTCCCAGACTGTGTATGTGTGTCTTTACTGGTTATGGTTATGTTCAATGTTCTCCCCAAGAAAACCCCATGTTTCCCTGACTGTGTGTGTGTTTGTCATCCCTAGATGTACATTAGCTTTACTACGTACATAAAGCTAGTAAATGAGTCTGAAATGTTAATAATCTAGATTGCGAGTCCTTAACCATACATAGACTGGATATGACTCGGACCATGGTCAATATCCTTTTTATGACTTTTGTAACCCTTGAACCATTCGGTTCGGCTGTAGCTAGCAGCCAGGTGTGGGATTGTCAGTCCCGTATAGATCTATACACTCAAGCCACGCTCTCCTACGAACAGAGATTCTGGTTACAGGGTTAGTCCTCCACTATCTCGTCCCATGGAAGTGTTACAAGGACGTGTCTCCAATCATTAAGATTACTCTTTACTTTTCGACTAGGAAAGTAGTATTTACGACTGACTATATTCTACGTACCTGTCCTTTTCACTCGAGTCTAGGTGTTTTATTAAAGACATTAAACTCGAGCCTAGGTGTTATTTAATGATGGCTGTCCTTTTACACTCGACCCTAGGTGTATTATTAAGGACATTACACTCGAACCTAGGTGTTATATTAATGATTATGGTCCTTTACACTCGATCTTAGGTGTATTGTTAAGGGCATATAGATGTTTTATGTTTTCTAATGGAGTCTGTCTTTTACACTCGAACCTTAGTGTTTTATTACAGACATTACAATGGTTTATGTATTCTATCAGTTTAAATGTGAAAAATCAAATGCAAAGTACACAATATAACAGTGTATAATAATAATTGAAAATCGGGTTAAAAACAAACAACTCTGCAAGTTAAAACAGTTTGTTTAAAAGGTTTTCAATTCTTAAAATGTACAATTATGAAAGCATTTAATTGAAATCATGTGATTAAGTACAAGATATTCTTGTACTTTTGCTTGTATTCTCCCCCTGAAAACATTGAAAAACCATTGAAAAAGGGTAGGGGTGTGAACTCCCCGGACGCGGATATGAGTCGATTTCGGATGCTAAACGTCGAATCCAGGCTTGATAACACGTGAGGTTCCTATGTAAAATGAAATGGCATACAAATATATCTAATTAGATTTACAAACTCTAATTAGATATGAAGTTACGCTCCAACGAACGAAAACACCTCAAAACGGGTGTTTGGGGTGACCCGGGTGATATCTACGGACGGGAATTGAAGCGTGGGACTTGGGATTTGAGTTTACTCCCCAAAAGTAAACTCCCTAATGATGTTTACGGCCTAAACACCCATTCCCCATGAGTTTACGGCCGTAAACTCATAGAGGGGTGGTTTATGGTGTTTAATGGCTCACAAATGGATATGGACACATGGAAATGCTTGGAATAATTTTAACTAAGGCTTGGATTGAATTAAAATCATCAAATACAACACTTAATGGAGTTTATGGCCTAATCATGGGTTCTATGTACGTAAACTCACATATCTCTTAGAATAAGTGTTGTTAAGGTCCCAAAATTAATCACATGTGATTCTAAAAATTCTAACAACCCTAGAAATCAATTTTGGGCACCATTTGACATCCATTTAGGAGTTTACGGCCATGGGGCATGTTCTATTGCCGTAAACTCTCAAATGTGGGATTTTGATGTGTTTAAAGCCCTTAAACTATTTTTGGTTGGTTCTATGATTTATTCCAAGGCTTTTGGTGGTGTTGGATGGCTTTCTAACACCTTAGAAATGAATTTATACCCCTTTTTGAGGAGTTTACGGCCCAAGCACATGCCTTGGCCGTAAACTCATATAAAACTCTCAAAATTTGTGTTTGAAGTGATCTAAGTCCAATTCTAATATTCTAAAAATCATATCTAAGTCTTGTTTGTGTTTTGGAAGGGTTAAATGGCTTAAAAACCCTCATAATATGTGTTTATGACCTAGGCACCTTCCAAGGCCGTAAAGTCATATACAAAGCTTCAGATCTTGGTTTGAGGTATTCTAATTCCATTTCATAAAGTCCTCTAGCCATATACAAGGTCCAATTGAGGTTTGGAAGGGTTTTGTTGCTCCAAAAACCCTCTTTATGTGAGTTTACGGTCTAGGACTATTCTAGGGCCGTAAACTCATGAAAATGGTCCTATCCCATGGTTTGAACTCGAATTTGAGGGCTAAAGATGTTGCATAACAAATTAGGGAAGGTACCTTGGTGATTTGAAGCCTTAAACTTGAGATTTTGACCCTAAAATCTAGTTTGAGGAGAGAGGTTGGAGTGATAGTTGTAAAATGCAGGAAAAGCTTCAAAATGGAGACTTGAATCACTTTAAATAGTGTCCAAGTTCGGGACATGGTAGAATTCTACCCGATACCGGCGTTAGACGGGGCTTTTGGTCGTACCCGGCCAATTTGCCGTAACCCAATATGGTTGGTTCTAAAAATGTTCCGATCATTAATATGAGACGTTAGAATGAGTTCTAATGGTATTAAGACACTTATTAAGTCATAAAATAAAATTCACATTAACGACTTAATAAAAGGTCGGAAACGGAAACAAAATCGGAAACGGCGATTGGATGATCAGAACGAGTCGCGAAAGGGGTTACAATTAAGGATATGAATTTCGGGTTGTTACATTAAGAACCGATGTAAACACCCGAAGGCGAATCTACTCAAACCTCCGATATATTATCCGTTTATCAAGAAAGAAGACTGAAAAGTTTTTATATCTCATAGAGTTCAAAAAAAGTGGAAGGTTCATTAAACTTTTCATATATGCATCTGTTCAATGAAATTTTTTGTATCCCAAAGAGTTACAAATTTAATGTTTCTAATGTAGGACAAAAGTATGAAAGCTAAAAAAGTTCGTGCACATCATAAATACAATCATCATTTGAGCAGAAAAGGATATGCTTGACTCATTAATGAGATTGTACGAATCTCGCTAAGTATTGATTATTTTACTTGTATATATTTATGTTAATTGACTTTGTTATTCTTGATAATTTAGATGCAAGAAACCGGTAAAACGGAAGAGGAGATTGATAGGACAATGTTATGGAAAAAAGAAAGAGAATTGAAGACAGGAGGATACGAATCAGATGTCAAGATAACTGTTGATAGAATTGTACGTTTAATTGAATGTCGAATAACATGAATCTATCCACAGATTCACACACAATTTGTCCCATTTTTTTTTCTAACATTTTTCTCATTTTTTTCTAACATTTGTCCCATTTATTTTACAGAATGAGCTGCAAAAATCAAGAAGTTTTTGAGAGGTTACATGTGGAACACATGATGTGCTTACAGAGGCCTTGGGTACCTAGGAACAATGTGGGCATGTACGAGGGATGGGTAAATTTATAATGCGACAACAATACTTTTATTTACCCAAGAATGTTAAGCAATACTTAGAGATTGAGAACGAGAGGTTGGATAAACGAATCCACAAACATGAAGATGACTTGGAGAAACTAAAAAGAGGTGTAATTAACATTTCTGAAGTTGCAAGTTGCCAAGTAGGGGGCGTCATTGAAGATATTGAAAAAGAACCACCAGAAGAATCACTTGTAGGTCTACTTATGAAAAATATTTTTAAAGTATTTTCTTTTTCAATAAACTAACATACTATATTTTGGTAGGATAATTTATGTCTTCTTGAGTTGACTTTACCGCAAATGTAATCGCTAAAGGAACCATAGTGAAGTATAGTGCCTCAGGTATTATGAAAAATATTATCATTATTACTATTTATATATTTTCATTTTTTAGAAAATTGGATCTTAATTATTTTTTTACATTTATGTAATAGATGAAAACATCCAAGTTATGATGGAAACAATTCTACAAGGAGATGCTTTACTACCCATGCCACCGGAAGAGGAGTTGATTGTGAAGGTCAAAGATGCACCTGGATACATACTATGTTGCCCAAGACACTTACTTATTCGATGCTCTAATCTGGTAATACTATTTGCCTTGTTTCTGTTCTGTTGATTTGTTTCTGTTTTGTTAATATTTAGTTATCATCTTCTAGCTTCACCCATGTCAAAGTCAAGTATATGAGTTGTCTGACCACAAGCCATTAACTTCCTTTACCCATGTCAAAGTCAGCTATATGAACTGAGTCAACATGGTTTAGAACAGCTTCAGGGATTGTTGAATCTGCTGTGAAATTAGCAAACCTTCCATAAGGATAAATCTCGTAGAATCCTCTAAATGTTGTCTTGAGGTTTCTAATAGATTCTTTTTCATATAAGGGGCTGACTTTTTTCAATTATACATTTCTGAATCACTTCATCCATATCTCTCTATTATGATGATTGTGCTCCTTTATACATTTTTAAATATTACCTTACCTCTCCTCTAGATTATCATCATCTGATACTATAGATCTGCCTTTAAAATAGACAAATTTTACATAGATTTACTACTATTTGCAGTCTCAACACAGTTAATTGAAATTATATACCAAAAAATACCCTTGGTTTTCGTAATTTTTATGATATTTGAGTTTTCATAATTTCATATTTAATGCTCATGTTTTCGTTTTCAGTTCACACCACATGCAACAAATGTAACAACCCAAAATTCAGGTACAACCATTTTAGCCCTTCATCTTTACCAAAATGTCATTTTGGTCCTTTGTGCTGAGTGAGTACATTGGGTGTACAAAGAGTACGATGCGCGTCCTCGCGCGCTTATTTTGTACGCGTTGCCATCCGGGTACGCTGGGCGTACCTAAGGTTACGCCGGGCGTAACCGGACCAGACTCAAAACCCTAATATAACTTGAAGGCTATAAAAGGAATGAGATGGCCTTGTCCTTCAGTCACCATCCTTCAGAAAGAAACCCTAAGAGAGCATTTCCTTCGTTTCTTTAGCTTGGTTGTTAGTGTTCTAAGCTTCAAGTGTCATTTCAAGGTAGCAAAGGAGAAGAGGAGACCATTGTGGAGGCTAGAAGTGGGTGGTCAAGTGTAGATCTGAGGACTACAAAGGTTGGAGCTTCTTCCTGAGGTAAAAAATTTAGGTCTTGTCTTATAGTTTGTATGGTGTGCTTCTTGGACCAATTTCTAGGGTTTTTGGTCCAAAGATGGAGACTTTATGAGCAAGAAGCCTCCATTGACCTAGATCTATCATATTCTAGGACCATAGGAGTTGTATGTTCATAAAAATGCAATCTTGGATGTAGATAATGAGCCATGCATGAGATCTTGACTCTTGGAGGGGAAAGGAAAGGTGTTTGGAGATGTGGAGAACCTTTTAGCCATGCCAAGGCTTAAAGGATTCGACTGTATGGCTTAAGAAGTATTATTTTAGCTAGATCTGGAATATGGGGTAATGTCTTAATTGTTTAAGACATTAGAAAAAGGAAATAAGAAAGTGGGATGTACGATGGGCGTAATCCTAGTACGCGCCGCATAGAGGGACTCGTTCCCTGTTTCTGGAATGCGTAAGTACGCCCCGCGTACAGGAGCTAGTACGCCCCACACACTGCTTGCTATTGAATTTTGTTGTCTTTTAGGGTTTTGGTCAACATGTGGACTTTTGAGTCAAGGAGGGGTGAAATGGTCTTTTAACCCTCTGTGGGATAGTGAAAAAGGGTGTAGCTTAGTCTCGGACGCTTATATTAACTAGAATGATTATTCGTTGTGATTAGGCGGGGTTGGGTCGTCATTTCGAGATTCGAAGATATCGAGCACGTGAGATTCTAGGCATTCTACGAGGTGAGTTTTCTCATTATAATGTACCTGGAAGGGTACCTTTGTGTGACCAGAAGGTCGGATATGCTATAAGATGTATGCTTTGTATGTGATTGTTACCCGTTTTGTATGTTTTATTTATGCTATGCTTGATATGGGCCGGAAGGAATTATGTTATGGGCCGGAATGCATTGTGATGTGGACCGGAAGGTCGACACGGGTAGGACCGGAAGGTTTAGCGGGTTGGGATGGAAGTCCCCTGAGACACATGGACCGGAAGGTCATGGCCTGGAAGGCCATATGTGTGTAAGTAGTATTTTGGGGAACTCACTAAGCATTTATGCTTACAGTTGTGTGTTATGTGTTTCAGGTACTAGCGAGGACCGTGGGAAGGCGCCAGCATGATCTGTACACACTGACGAAAGAATTGTTTTATGATCTTGGGATGTATTTTTATTACGATGACATTTGCTAAACATGGGATTTCAGAATATTGAATGATTATTTATGTTGTTCGAAAATGAAAAATTGTTCTGAAAATTTTCGTTGTTACAAGTTGGTATCAGAGCCTTGGTTTGAGGGATTCGGGTGCACCTTCGGGCATAACTGAACTCAAACTGAGGATTTGAGAAAAAATTTCCAATAATAAAAGCATAAAATTTTAAAAGAAGTTTTGAGATAACCAAAGAAGGAGCAGTGTGTACGGTCTGCCACCGCCCGAACGGTAAAATCCCCAAAATAACCTTACAATATGTGTTATGTGATATGCTATGATATGTTATGCATACTAGAGTAGACTAGGTATTCATATTAGGACTAGAGTGGCCTGATTTGTGATGCCTTAGTATAGGGGAATCCTACTGCTATGAGATGCCTTGAGAGTGAGTAGGTAGGAAATGCATAGCTAGAATAGAGTACTCGCATTCCGAGATCGAAGGAGGAGGACTTGGAGTGAATGATGATGTAGTGTAATCAGTAGTATAGGGCCCGTACTACTGAAGACACCGGATCAGTGGGCAGCCCAAGTAAGAATCCTTTGGGTATCGGAGGCCGAGTAGGATTGCGTTATCGAGTGCAAGTATGCTCGATTGAATCTTTGATATTTTTATGTTGTATTTTAGAGGCATCATGGTTGGGACACGCCACAGACTTGGGACGAGCGGTGTGAGTGACGAGGAGCTTCGTCAGATGATCTATGATGAGGTGGCTGCGGCAATTAGGGCTGAGATTCCGGAGATGTTTTGGTCTATCAAGACCACGCTGATGGAGACTTTTGATGAGCGGTACGCTGCGGTGACTGAGGCTGCAGCCGCTGCAGCTACCGCAGCTTTGGTTGCTGCCAGACCTCAAGGAGGTGACTCATTGCTGTTCTGGGAGTTCAGCAACACGAAGCCACCCGAGTTTGATGGGACGCAGGATCCGATCGCTACGATGAGATGGATTGCTGACATTGAGGGATGCTTCTATACGTGTTCATGTCTGGAGCATCTGAGGGTACGGTTCTCTTTGAACCAGCTCCGCCTAGGAGCGAAGGATTGGTGGAAGTTCGTGACAACGAACTTCACTCTTGCAGAGATTTCAGCAGTAACCTGGGAGAGGTTCACTACCATGTTTAGAGACGAGTATGTTCCCCTGGTGGAGAGGGAACGGCTGATTCAGGAGTTCTTGACCCTCAAGCAGGGTAATGATTCGGTTACTATGGTCACTCGGAAGTTTCATGAGAGGGCGATGTTCTGCCCTGAACAGGTATCTACTAAGCAGGCACGGATGAGCCGGTATTTGGGTATTCTGAGGAGGGACATTCGGGAGTTCGTGTCGAACTTGATGTACCGGACATTTGCTGAGCTCCAGGCAGGGAGGAGGCCGAATCTCAGAGGGTGGATCAGCGGCCGGTTCAGTCTCAGGCGGCAGCCAAGCGGACCAAGTCCGCCGATTCGAGGATGGGAGGCCAGAAGGATCGCACTTGCGGGAAGTGCGGCAAGGGACATGAGGGCGTCTGTCAATCGGGTGCTTGCTACAAATATGGAAAGGAGGGGCATATCGCCAGGGATTTCCCCAAGGGATTTATGGTTTGCTTCCATTGCAACTAGACCGTCCATCGGAAGGCCAAGTGTCCTCAGCTACACCAGGGATCAGCACAGGGATCTGTACCTGCGGCTAGGGTTACCGAGATTCGACCGGCGAAGGCCGAGGCTCCGAAGGCTCATGGGAGAGCTTTTTAGTGGACTGCGGAGGAGGTCTCCACGGCGCCCGATGTCGTGGCTGGTATGTATTCTTTCGTGTATTTACTTTTATGTTGAGATACCGTGCTTATATTATGATATGCATAGGTACTTTTCTTGTAAATTCTATACCTACCTTAGTATTATTTGACTCGGGTGCGAGTCGATCTTTTGTATCCTTTGGCTTTTAGTCAGCACATCAGTATTAGTCGGAAGGTGATGAGTCGACCCCTGAGGGTTTTCAAAGCTGAAGAGAAAGCGGTGTATGCCACCGAGGTGATTCGAGGATGTGTGCTTGAGATTTTTGGTGTCAAGTTCCCAATTGATCTAGTTCCTATCGTGATGGGGGATGTCTGCGTCATTGTGGGCATGGACTGGTTGAGTAAGTTTGGAACGGTTATTGACTTCGAGAGACAGTTGGTGACTATACGAGATGCTAGTGGGGGAGTGCTTACTGTGTATGATGAAGGGACCTAGTGTGGGTCAGCGTTTTGTTCGGCTACCAGGGCAAGATAGAGTTTGCAGCAAGGCGGCAGTGGACTCATAGCTTATGTGATGGACACACAAGTGGCTGTGGGGAGGCCAAGTTCGATTGACGAGGTACCGATAGTGTGCGAGTTTACGGATGTTTTCCTCGAGAAACTGCCAGGCGTGCCTCCGGAAAGACAAGTGGCGTTCCGCATCGATTTGGTTCCGGGAGCAGCACCTATCGCCAAGGCGCCTTATCGCCTCATGCCGCTAGAGATGCAGGAGTTATCCTTGCAGCTTCAGGAGCTGTTAGGGAAGGGGTTCATTCGACCGTTTAGCTCACCTTGGCGAGCACTGATCCTTTTTTTCAAGAAGACGGATTGTTCACACCGGATGTGTATTGATTACCATGATTTGAACAATTTGACGGTTAAGAACCGATATCCGTTACCGAGGATCGATGATCTGTTTGACCAGTTGCAGGGGGCATCTTGGTTCTCCAAGATAGACTTGAGGTTGGGTTATCATCAGATGAGGGTTCGGGATGAAGATATCCAGAAGACTGCATTCAGAACTCATTATGGACATTACGAGTTTGTTGTGATGCCTTTTGGGCTCACCAATGCCCCAGTTGCGTTCATGGATCTCATGAACAGGGTGTGCAGGTCGATACTGAATCGGTCGGTGATTGTATTTATTGATGATATTTTGGTATATTCGAGGTCTAGAGAGCAACATAAGGAGCCTTTGAGGGAGATCCTTGGAGTTCTGAGATCGGAGAGGCTGTATGCCAAATTCTCCAAGTGTGATTTCTAGTTATGAGAGGTCCAGTTCCTAGGGCACCTTGTTAACCAGAAAGGGATATCGGTCGATCCAGCCAAGGTTGAGGCGGTGATGAGATGGGAGGTGCCGAGATCACCCACTGAGATCAGGAGCTTTCTGGGATTGGCCAGCTATTATCAGAGGTTTATTAGGGATTTCTCCAAGATCGCCATACCGCTTACCAAGATGACCCGAAAGGGTGTTGCATTTTCATGGGGTTCGGAGCAGCAGTCCTCATTTGATACACTTCGCCAAAAGTTGTCCGAAGCCCCGATGCTCGCACTCCCAGAAGGGATGGAGGATTTTATGGTATACTGTGATGCTTCAATATCTGGCATAGGGGCAGTGCGTATGCAAAGGGAATATGTGATAGCGTATGCATCAAGGCTATTGAAGCCTCATGAGTCGAGATATCCCACCCACGATCGGAACTGGGGTCTGTGGTGTTTGCCCTCAACATCTGGTGTCACTATCTATATGGGGTTCGGTGTACCATATACACGGACCACAAGAGTCTGAAGTACTTGATGGATCAGCCCAACCTGAATATGCGCCAGAGGAGATGGTTGGATGTGGTGAAGGATTATGATTGTGAGGTCCTGTACCATTCGGTAAAGGCTAATGTTGTAGCCGATGCTTTGAGCCGTAGGACGGAGAGCGCCCTGATTCGAGACGTTTGTATGAGGTTGATAGTGATGACTCCGGTATTGGACACCATCCGAGGGGCCCAGGCTGAGGCGGTGAGACCAGAAAACCGAAAGAGGGAGCGAGTTGTCGGGCAGGTATCGGAGTTCGTTACCGATAGTTGGGGACTTATGACATTTCAGTGTCGGATTTGGGTACCGTTTGTGGGTGGGACGCATACCATTTTGATGGAAGAGGCACATCGATCGAATTTCTCAATCCATCCCAAGGCCACTAAGATGTATCTGGACCTAAAGAAGGAGTATTGGTGGCCCTTTATGAAAAGAGATGTTGCATGGTTCGTTGAGAGGTGCCTAACTTGTCGCCAGGTTAAGTCCAAGCACCAGCATCCGCATGGTAAGCTGCAGCCGTTGGAGATCCTCGAGTGGAAATGGGAACAGATTACCATGGATTTTATCACCGAATTGCCAAGGACTGCAAGGGGAGTTGATGCAATTTAGGTGATTGTGGATAGGTTGATGAAGAGCGCTCATTTTCTTGCTATAAGTGAGAGCTCTTCTGCTGAGAAGTTGGCAGAGTTGTATGTGAGGGAGGTAGTATCGTGGCATGGGGTTCCGATGTCGATTGTTTCAGATCGAGACGTATGATTTACTTCCAGATTTTGGAAGAAGTTTCACGAGGAGTTGGGAAAAAAGCTGCATTTCAGTACCGCATACCACCCACAGACGGACGGACAGAGTGAGCGGACGATTCAGACACTCGAGGATATGCTCCGAGCATGCGTTTTGGATTTTGGCGGAAGTTGGGACACATATTTACCCTTGGCATAATTTTCCTACAACAACAACTATCATTCGAGCATTGGTATGCACCTTTTGAGCTGTTGTATGGGCGGAGGTGTCGGACCCCAATCTGTTGGGGAGAGGTGGCACAGCGTGTAATGGGTAGTACGAAGATCGTGCTTCAGATGACTGAGCAGATACAGCAGGTCAAGTAGAGGTTGTTGACCGCCCAGTGCCGCCAGAAGAGTTACGCGGATAGGCGTCGGTCCGAGCTCGAGTTTCAGGTCAGTGACCTCGTACTCTTAAACGTCTCTCCTTGGAAAGGAGTGATCCGATTCAGGAAGAGGGGCAAGTTGGGGCCTCGATACATTAGACCTTTCAGGGTAATCGCGAGGGTAGGTAGGGTAACCTACCATATGGTTCTACCTACGGAGTTGGGCCAGATTCACAATACTTTCCATGTGTCATAGTTGAGACAGTGTATAGCCGACGAGTCAGCAGTGGTACTGTTAGTGGATATTCAGGTGGATGCAGGCCTGAACTATATTGAGAGACCAGTGGAAATTAGGGATCGGAAGGTTAAGATTCTAAGGAGCAAGGAAGTGCCTTTGGTGTAAGTGCAGTGGCAGCATCGGAAGGGGTCCGAGATGACATAGGAGTCCGAGTCGGAAATGCGGGAGCAGCATCCGGAGTTGTTTGCGGTTTAAGATTTCGGGGACAAAGTCTGGTTCTAGTGGGGGAGAATTGTAACAGCCTAAATTCCAGGTACAACCATTTTAGCCCTTCATCTTTACCAAAATGTCATTTTGGTCCTTTGGGTTGGGTGAGTACGCTGGGTGTAAAAAGAGTACGTTGCGCGTACTCGCACGCTTGTTTTGTACCTGTTGCCATCCGGGTACGCTGGGCGTACCTAAGGTTACGCCGGGCGTAACCGGCCCAGACTCAAAACCCTAATATGACTTGAAGGCTATAAAAGGAATGAGATGGCCTTGTCCTTTAGTCACCATCCTTTAGAAAGAAACCCTAAGAGAACATTTACTTCGTTTTTTTAGCTTGGCTGTGAGTGTTCTAAGCTTCAAGAGTCATTTCAAGGTAGCAAAGGAAAAGAGGAGACCATTGTGGAGGCTAGAAGTTGGTGCTCAAGTGTAGATCTGAGGACTACAAAGGTTGGGGCTTCTTCCTTAGGTAAAAAGTTCAGATCTTGTCTTGTAGTTTTTATGGTGTGATTAGGCGGGGTTGGGTCGTCATTTCGAGATTCGGAGATATCGAGCACGTAAGATTCTAGGCATTCTATGAGGTGACTTTTCTAACTCTACTGTACCTGGAAGGGCACCTATGTGTGACCAGAAGATCGGATATGCTATAAGATGTATGCTTTGTATGTGATTGTTGCCCGTTTTGTATGTGTTATGTATGCTACGCTTGATATGGGCCGGAAGGCATTATGTTATGGGCCGGAAGGCATTGAGATGTGGACCGGAAGGTCGACACGGGTAGGACCGGAAGGTTTACCGGGTTGGGATGGAAGTCCCTTGAGACACATGGACCAGAAGGTCACATCCAGGAAGGGCGTACGTGTGTAAGTAGTATTTTGGGGAACTCACTAGGCATTTATGCTTACAGTTTTGTGTTATGTGTTTCAGGTACTAGCGAGGACCGTGGGAAGGCACCGGCATGATCTGTACACACTGACGGAAGAATTGTTTTATGATCTTGGGATGTATTTTTATTACGATGACATTTGCTAAACATGGGATTTCAGAATATTGTATGATAATTTATGTTGTTTGAAAATGAAAAATTGTTTTGAAAATTTACGTTGTTACAACAAACATGCATATATTTCCTGCTTCCTGTTTCATTCTTTTTTTTTTATAATCTTTATATGGAAAAGTGGTGGCGAAACATTTGAAAAAACATGCAACACCAATAGAAAAAGATGCAACACCAGTGAAAGAAGATGCAACACCTTAAAAAGAAGAAATATGAAGTAATAAGAAAGAAAATAGGACATGTAAAATAGTTGATAAAGAAGAAAGGAATGGAACACAGAAGAACAGTAAAAAGAAGGAAGAAGGGAATGTGACCATGGAAAGAAGGTGGACCCAAGCACAGATGAAGACAAGGATAAGAATTGATAAGAGTAGTATTTTGAAAATGACTGCAATGATGGCTGATGGACAAGTTACAAAGTATAATTGTATAAAAGTTCAGAGTGAGAACGATATTTTTCGGTGCAATAGTTACACGAACTTAAATTGGGATGATTTTGAAGAAGTTCTTACAATGGATGAGCTGGTTGGTGGTGCTATTGTGTCTTATATGATGTAAGTGCAAGAAATTTAATTTAAATAACTGTTATGGATCCAAAATTTGTTTAAGCAATTTGGTGTTTGTATGATAATAGGGTGTTGTTTAACAAAATCAAGTATGGCCCACCAGAAAGAGATCATGGAATTTGCTTTGTGAACCCGTCTGTAATCTTGCCAAGTACGCGTAAAGGGAAATATAAGAATATTGATGATGCAAGTAGAGGTGTTGCAGATCGGTTTGTCTACTAGAAAGGGAAATGACATCATCCTATTGGCCTACAATCCCGGGTTTGATTTTACCATTTTATTTTGAAAATGACTGCAATTATGTTATTCGACTTAATTTCATTTTTGGTTTTTGGAGAAGACATTAGGTGTTAGGTGCACTAGACATGAAATCAGATACATGCTATTATCTTGATTCCTTGAGTTCTAGCAATTTCAATATGCAATTCAAGCAAATTGTTGATTCGTAAGTAATATAAATTATCAAAACATTTGATGTGAATACAATAAATACCTATTTGTTAATGTTTTTTATAGGACAATGATTATGTACGCTACACAAAGTTGATAAAATAAGAGGGTTAAACTAAGTTAGGTCAATGACACGGTCATCACTTAATTCCTTATTGAAATTGTAGCTTTAACTTTATTTTTGGATCAATTGCAATGATCATTTATATATAATTGTGTAGTGTCCAGTTCAGCCCGGATCTACCGAATGTCGCTACTACATGTTAAAGTTAAGGAAGGAGATAGTTGAGGAAGGAATTGAAGTGTTGGTCAAAGACAATGTAAGGATATATCGTTCGAAATTTAATAAGAAAGAAACTTAAAATGGATCATTTTATGGCATCCTAATCTCACAATTATAATTGAAATATTAGGTTACATGTAAAAATAACAACGTGCTTTCATTCATTTGAAAGTACAATGTTGTATTAAGAAAGAAGAATTTACATTTTATGTTTATTTGTTAAATATATAGCAACTCATTGTTAAAAGATATGTTTATATGCAATTTTTTTTATAATAGAAATAATGCAAAATTTTTTCTTAGGTCGGGGTTGGCACAGTTGAGTACACATATAATGATATCGTTGAAATACGTGAAAAATGGTCGGAGTTTGTTACAGGCTTCATTTATTGGTGATATTTTGTATCCGCAAAACAATATTTTTGTTAATGTTGAAATGTTAGGTATGGTCTTTTTTACATGTGTTCTACATGTTTTTTGTTAACTTTCTGAAATGTTACATAGCATCCTCGTTTGACATGTAGTGTTGTTTGACATGTAATGTTAGGTAACTTGACATGTAATGTTAGGTAACTTGTTTGACAATTAGATGAAGTTGAATGTTCTGGTATATATTTGTTTTTTTCTTATGTTTATTCACGTTGTAAATGTGTATCGTCACTCGTAGTTGAAGTTTATGACAGACAAATGTGTGACATCTTCATTTATGATAGGGGCTTCCTTGATACCTATCGTGTGTCATAAACACACATCGTAAGGTTACAACACGCATATGATTGTCATCTTCCTTTATGACAGGGACTTCCTTGATACGCATTGTGTGTTATAAACACACATTGTAAGGTTATGACACGCACGTGCACGTTTTCTTACTTTATGACAAGGGTTTCCTTGATACGCATTGCGTGTCATAAAGAAACATCGTAAATGTGTGTCATAAATACGGGTCATAAATAGACAACATGCAAATGCATGTTGACTTTCATCGTGACAGGGCCTTCCTTGACATGCATTTGTATGTCGTTTGAGCATTTTATGACACGCATTGCACTTCATATAAGGGTGTTTTGTAGTAGTGATTTGTTGGATTAGATGTCTAAGTCCATACCTATTACTGGTATGTACTTGACCCGAGAGTAGCGTGGTCCATTTGGGTTGCATATCATCAGGACAATTTGTTAGGATAGACTCTTGAGAGAAGGTTATATATGATTTATAAATATATTATAAGTTCTAATATATTAATATGAAATCATATGTTTTAATTAGTATTGATCAAGAATTAATTTGAAATTACTTTAGTGATAAAAGGAGACTAATTAAACTTATGGGGACTAATTATGGTAATTAGTTATATTTATATGTGTTGGGATTATGATCCATGTTGGACCAAGTTTATGTATGGATACATAAAGATTTGGGCCACATGAACGATGGATCATAACACCCATGAGTATGGATTTGGGTTATACCCATGACCCTTGAAATACCACATATAAATATAAACTCCATTGCGTAAAACCACCACTTCTAAGCTATGGATGTTCTTGGAGTTCATATGGATGGTTTTTGGTGTATGAAGACTCTCTATCAAATGTGTACCTTTGTCCATGATGCGTTGTGACTTCAGTTGAGGCTTCTACATTATTGGGGCTAAGCTCTTAAGGCGAAATACATCAAGACTTCAAGCTTCATAAAAGGTATGTTACCCTAACTAGTATCTTATATGGTTTATATCAAATTTATGCAAGTTTTAGGTTTGATTACTTGGAAACAATTGTTGGGTTTTGAGTATTCTAACACTTCCTAAGTGTACATGCAACCCTAATAAACCTTGGATATATGTTTGTCTAAAATACATGCAAAATTTGTTTTCCAAGGTTTATAACTTATCTAGCATGGCATGGGGAACTTTTAAATATAAAAGAACTAGATGAATTACATACTTTTTTATGCGTGTTGATTCCTTGGAGTTTGAGAGCCAAGCACCAATAATGTGAATGCCTCAAATGGAAATCCTAAATCACCACAAACTTGGAAAACCTTATGAAAGTGTATACTTTGCACTAGGAATCGGCCACCACTTCTCACACACACTAGGGTGTCAATTCATGCACGATAAGGTTGTTTATATAGTATAGATGATTAGGGTAAACCCTAATAACCCATGTCTTTTCTTCTTCCAGGGATCCATGGATTAAAAAATCCATGGATCACCCATGGATTTCCATATAAGCTAAGCCCATTCCCAAATGAGTCTTAGCCCACACCATATAAATATAATAGTCCATGATTTAATTAGTCTTCCTTTTAATCACTAAATCAATTCATAATTAATTTAAGATTAAAGCATAATTAAATAACATGAATTTATATTAATATATTATAAATTATAATATATTAATAAAACATAAGTATAGAATTCTCATAATATTATTCATAAATTGTTTGGGTGAAGTGCAACCCAAATGGACCATGCCGAGTCGGGTCAAGTATATACCAAATAAGTTATGGACTTAGACACCTTATCGAACAACAATTTGCATGTATAATTTGTGAAACCATAGATCCAAGGTATTTAGAGTTGTATGTGCACCAGAGGATGTTGTAGTATACTAAACCCAATAGTGGTATCAGAGGCTAGGTTGTTCTCAATTATACTTGATGCAAATTGCTGAAAAAATCGATTTTTTGGCTGTTTGGACAGTGGACTCCCCAAGTCCACTGACAAACTCGTCGAGTAGCATTCATTTTTCCTTGGGCTCGCCGAGTCCATTGGTGGACTTGCCGAGTCGAAGTACAAATTTAACCAACTCGCCGAGTCAGTTCATGTACTCAACGAGTTGGTACTCCAAAGTGTAGTTTTTCGACTTTTAAGCCTGGAATTGGACTGGGAACATTACCCTACGACATTTTTGAACTTATAAACCTATTTTTTTGATGTGTTGATGTTCATGCTAATCCAATTGAAAGGATAATTGTCAAAAGTTTCATGTGTTCGTATTAGTTTAATGGTTAGGCTAATTACATGAAAATTGTTTGATTTAAATTGTCTTCTTCATATGAGTTTAATATAGATCATAGTTTTTTCTTAACATGCTTGTTAGTTGAATTGATGATCTTGGTGTTTTTTAATGAATTCCATAACTTGTCCTCAACCGATAGTTTTTTGTGTTAAATCTTCATTAAAGTCATATGTAACAGCCCGGAAATTTCAGGTATTGTTATATTATGTTTTTGGGGTGTTTTAAGAGGGGACTCGGCGAGTTGGAACCAGACTCGCCGAGTATGACCACAGAATTGGTCGGCGAGTCTGCGCTGTTCAGCGGAAACCCTAGCCGTTCGGTTTTGGAACGTATATAACGGACTTATAGGCCGTCATTGTCCGTCTTTAGCGACTGAGAAGAACCCTAAATCGGTTGTGGGCATCTAGAGCAAGGATTGAAGGCCATTGGTGATCTTGAAGAAGTTATTGTGCAAGGAAGAGAAGGGTTTGGCTAAAGGAACAGCAAGGGAATCAAGTTCTGAGGATTGGGGACACAGAGAGTGCATTATTCAGGTAATATTTCGGATCATACTCTGCTATGTTGACGTGTGCATGGATTTAGGGTTTATGGAACCCTTTT